TTAAACCACTCAAAGCACTGTGATTTACCAAGAGCATGCTCACAGTAAGCTTCGACAAGCATTCGATGCGATTCTGCAGTAGTTTTTTTCAAATGGTAACAGAAGATTAATGATGTCCGCAAATCGTAGTTTCCAGGCACTAAATTCGACATGTTCAACGCTATTACAAACTATGCTGTTGTATGAAACTTGTATTGTTGTGAGTTGAAAATCTTTGTCAGAGATGTCAACAAGGAAATGGCGCCAATGACGCGGTTTGACGGTAACTACATTGACAGCTAGGGCCATCTATGGGCAAATTCCGGTTTCATATTTACAGACCTGATATGTGGTAGCGTTATCTCGCGTCCACAATGTCTTAGTTCCAGTTTAATCGTTACTCGCAAGATTGGGTACACGCTTTAAATGAGGCCGAGATCAAAGAATATCGTTTGATTTATTGGTTTACATCTGGTGTGCGTGTGTCAGTGTGGTGATATTAAGAGAAGGCATATGTGGTGTTGTCCCACACCATGGCCGGATTCGTGATGGGTGGCGGGAGCGGTGCATTTGGACACAGCCAATCACAGCACCGTGTGATTAGAGACATTGTAGGGTCCCTTGGAACAGCGACTTGTGATTGGACTGTGTCCAATTGCCCCGTGTCCAACTGATATACACCCATGGGCGGCCACGGAGGACAGTTGTCTTTGGTTGTGCCGGTTTCTATGCGCCCAGAACTTCTCTGGCCGGGCCAGCTTTCGCGGAGACCTGCGACGTCCGACGACTCCCGGTGATGCTGACTTCCTCGGTGACGTGGCCTTGGTGTACACTGACGCGGTCTGAGTGGCCTTGTCCAGCGTCGGTCGTGACGGCGGGGATGAGAGTGGTCTTAACCCCGGTTTAACATGCCGAGGAGAGAGTGGTCGCCGAGCCCTGACGTCCCACGTGGTCAGTTGGTCCAGTGGTGGCCTGGTTCGTTTAACTGGCGAGAGGCTCAGGAGGCATAGGCTCCATGGCCTCAAAGTCTCAACCAGGTACCCGCCCGGATCTCTGGCTGGCGGCTGCGTGGAGATCCCGGTGGTTAGGTGCTGCGTTGTTGATACCTGGGGTGTCTTTCTCTGAGCGGCAACAGCAATGAACGGAACCGCCTCTGTAGCTCCGCGTGGCTGTTTGCATGGTGATGGTGTCCTCGGCAGTCGTGTCGGTGAAAGCGTCGCGGGTAGCGAAGACCACGTTGACGCCGGCAAGATCGGAGCGTGCATGCTTAACTCCTCCGCCCGGTCATCTTCGCTGTCCGTGCCGAGGAGGTCCCCGTACTTGATTGCGGAGCGTCTTCTGGCATGAGCTTTTGGCCTCGCTCTGAGGCGTTTTTGTACGATCTTCAGGTTTTTTTTGATCGGTACTTTACGCAGCGTGGTATTTCTCTCCCTGTGAGGAGGATCCGCTAGAACTCCTCGTCGGAGCTTGGCTTGATTCGTTCTCGAGAGAATGTTTCTCATTTTAGTTCGAGAGCAGATTAAAACTCCTGGCGCCTTGCGCCCTATTTATATCTCTTTTTTTTACCTGTGTTTACTATACGTGAATTTAAATTTCTCCGAAAAATCGCGAGGTTCGCAGTCTCCGAATTTCGGTGCAGGTTTCGCGCTTCCACGAATTTGTCGCTAGGCTCGCGCTTATCGCTGCCCAGCCGTGCTTCGTGGAAACGCGTCACGAGCCTCGCGCTTCTTAGAAGAACGGCGCGCGTAAGGTGCTCTTCCAAAAAAGGCATTTCTTTTTCCTTTTAAAAGCAAGATGCACCTCGTGTGGCGTCTCGCTTGCTGAGACGCCACATTTTATAATAATGCGATTAATATCGTTGCGTTATGTAGAGCATGGAAGTGGGCGTGCTTTTCGACGTCGCGGTCAGGTTCTCGCATATACACGTTGTAACGTCCGGATCTATTTTAGAACATTAACAATATATTATTATAGACCGGGAGGCCGACTTGTCTGATTTCAGACATCACTAGATATTTTATCCCTATGTTACTAGATGTAAGTACGTGCGCATATGCATATTCGCGAGCGTTAAAACATTATAATTAAAATGCCGAATGCTGCGTGCTGCTGGAGAGTCTCGAAATCGACGGATCTCGGATCGACCCAAAGAAACCGCTATCGCTCAGTGCGATAAGCCAACATAAACAGGAGCATGAAAGCTGAATCCTAAACACCACTCAGGACACCGACGCGGTGACATCATGCAAAGGAATGAATCTCTTCCCTCGCCATAACTCCATGGACCAATCGGAGAACGACTCTCAGCGACAAAGCGACGTATAAAAGCGCGCGCATTTGTAGAGAAGGCAATATATATAATTATTTTCTTCTCATAGTTAGTCTCTGGTAGCTTCGTGTACTTATTCAGTATATTATACTTAGTCGTAAAATCCGACTGTGTTGCAATTACTTTTGCCTACCCTTCATATTTCAAACGTTGCGAAATCAAATTCTGAATCGCGGGCCGCATCAACCCGCGTGGTATCGGAACATCCGAGGCCGAGCCAGGAGAACAAGCACCGCTGATTTTTCGCCAGATTCATCAATCGTTTCGCCAGGCTCCCGAGACCCAGGGTAAACTCGGTGAAAAGCAGAGTGACCCAAAAGCGGAGCCATCACTCTGTTGACCGTCCACGTAAGTCACTGATTTCACTACTTTCAAATTTCCCTATATAGTTATCTATCGTGGACGTAACAACGTACATATGATATTTCGTACGCATATACATGTAAATAAATTTATGACAGTGCGTAAAGAGAAAAGATCATGTGCATGTTGAATGGAAAAGGCGCTACCACCCCCATTGCTCCAAAATAATTGTCTATCCATCCCACGAGCGGTTCCCGGGCAGTATTTGTCACTAAAGAGAAGAAATACAAAATTTCAGTATAATATAAAAATTTGGCAATAAAATGAAGAAATAAAATATTTGAAAACAAACATCTTCATCGTTCGTCACGACATGATTCTCTCTCTTTTCCATTTTTCAGCATTTGACTCTTATAGGACATCATTCTTAGTTTACTTTTTAATTGCTAACCTCAGAGCTTTTACACACGAATCTATATTATATATTAGCAATTCAACATTACCGTGTTGCTTGATATACGTACCTCGATATCTCAATATTTCAATGTCTCAATTATTAATTATATCGGACACATTTAAAACGATATATTACAGAGCTATCGCAAGAATAAATACGATAGAAACGCGTTGCTTGATATACGTATCTCAATTATCACATTTAAGGATGATAGAGCGTTATTGATATACGACATAATATACTAATGATACACGACATAATATACTAATGAGACTTAAACTTTGCGACATGTTGTAGAAAAGACTTAAATAATTGATCGGGAAGAAAAACCGACTACTGAAAATTTGTAATTTTGGCTTGTGAAATTTCAGATCTCAGGATTGTCTGTACTAATTTTTATCAGATTGGTCGCAACTGAATGCTTGTATCAACGTTTCTGTCAGAAATACAATTAGATTTTTCATTACCATTTTATTTTTCGAGATATTTTAGATAGAAGTGTGATCAGCTTCTTGGTAGCGTCGTGTACCATGAACATATCACGGATCTGTCACATCTCGGACCTGTCATTCTCGGAACTCGTCTTTATGTACTTGGCTACCGCGTCGCTTAATAGAAAAGGATGCGAAGTATAATTTAATTTGAGAAACCAGTAAACACCAAGTAACGATTATATAACATTAAGTATAATGATTTTGATTAATCTTCCACTTTTCTCACACTAAAATGCAAACTAACGCGAGATATACCTCCAGTCATGTTTTATTTCAAATATTTATGACAGTCAGAAATCTCGCCCTGTAATATGTGTAGCATTGAGAGGAGATGGCGCACACAAACGTGACCGTGTACGCTCCGACTTTCGCCGAAAATGAGTATCAGTAAAAAATGACAGACATATGATACGACGGTCAGTCTGCTTCCCTTGCTGGAGCGAACTGTCTTGTTGGACATGCACTGTTCAACTGTGATCAAAGGTGTATTTTTTACATTATATTATACATGTGTATGTTATATTATATTATATTATAAAATTAATAAATTCTAATTTAATGAAATTCACTTTTGGCCAACGTGTACATTTGAATTTAATAAATTTATCTTATTAAAATATATATAAAAATAATGAAATAAAAGCAAAATGTGATTTGGTTAATAACAGTAGTATATGTAAATACTTCGTAAGCTTATTGGTTAATATCGCATGCTATGTATGATCCATCAGATCCATCAGATATGTCATAATTCTTAATTCTTTTAATTTTATATTATTGTATAGTATCGCTGTACCGCAAAGAATATATAAATATTATTATAATTTGGTCTTTTTTTATAATAGATGAAAAATGTACATATTAATGTAGAAAATACAATGAGATAAAAAACGATTTTATGTATATATGCGTATGTATCATACATTAAATCTTAATCTTAATCTAATTAACTAACTAACTGACAAACGAAATTATATATCTTTGTTCTAAATTTCCAGTTTCAACCAAACATGGACGACCTTGAGCTATATTTCGATATGTATAAAAAATAATAGGAAAAACGTATACAAGCACATAAAAAAAAAAATGATAGACACAAGTTTCGTATAAGACAGATGAATTTATTTGGCTGGCTTAAATATCGGATTCTGCATTTTAAAAAGAAACTTAAAATATACCATTATCCTCCTTGAAATGACATGAAGTTATGATAAAATTTAATATTTTTACATAAAAACCATTTTTTTTACATTACCTCTCACCAAAATTATATAATGCATGCTTATAGCGTCCAATTAATATTATAACTGTGCATGAAATAAATCTAGATTACAAAAATATTTCTGTAACTAGCTCTGTAAATATTTCTGTAAAATCTAGATTACAAAAATATTTCTGTAAATAGCTTCCAGACCAACATGAAGACGATGAATGTAAGCACGATCTTAGTCACTTGATGTATCCAATACAATCTGAAATTCATAATATTATTTAGTGCAAATATAACATTATGTAATTAAATGCCTTTTTACATAACACATTTCTATTCTATAACAATCGTCAATGATTCAACATTTCAATTTGAATTAATACAAAACGTCTAACAAGATTCATCCAAAATATTGGCGTTTTGGTTAACTTTCTTACGCTACTTTCCTGAAGCTATAATTTCCTGATTTTTCTGAGATTGGTGAACTAACAAAGGTGGCAAAAGTTCAAAGTTCTATGGAAAGAGCTGCAGGTGATGTAACATCAAAGATTATTGGCATTATTTGAACCCCAAAGAGACAAAATATTTTCTAAGAACACTTTTGCACATCGGGAGGCCAACGAATTATTTAGATACTACTACTTTCATTGACTCTTTAGCTACGAACTGTATATATATATATCCATATATAATCATTAATATATACGAATGACGTGTATGTAATGTATTCTCTGTAACGGTCCGCACGATATATCAGGCGCCCCCGATAGTTTAGAAAAAAGGTTGTAAGGAGAACATTCATTTGTAATATGCAAGCTAGAATTCGCAAAAAAATAAAATTTTTTTTATGAAAGTTTAATTTCGCCTTAGATTCTTTAATATTAGTTCCTTTTCACAATATTACAGAGAATTTTAAGAGGAATTTAATGCATTCTTACTTTTATTGATATTTAATGTTATTGATATTTAATGTTATTGTATTCATTTAAGTTATTATTAAATCGAAAATACGTTACCTTTTCCATTTGATACGACTGACTTCCAAAGTGCTCAAATCATCCTTAAGCAGATAAAGACGCATACCTCTGAAATGATCTTCCAAATATTTCGACCAATCGAAACCTTTCATGTTAAAGTCGAATAAAAATTGATCATTTTTATTCATGCGTCGCCAGATCGCATGAATGTTGTCATTTGTATGAGTCCAGTTGTTCATTATAAAGTAACTGATCATATTATTGAATTCGTGAATATTACCATACAATTTCCATATGCTAAAAAGTTGAAATAATATTGACATGAATGTTATTTCGATAAATTTCGATAAATTTTAAATGACGCTATCCTCAAATACCTTTGCGGAGCACCTATGCATTTTTGAAAAATTTCAATGAATATTGCGGGTAACAGGTGTCCGAACCAAATGCATATTGTGTATATAATTTTATTGCTGATTAACGTAATAGTTGGCATCCAATAGCAGTGTTTCGTCGGATATTTTAGAGCATTTAGTCGTACGTGAGCAAAATAATCACCATAAGACAAAGGGGCGTCTTTCGTGAATACGCTATTATAAATTAACATTTTTTCGCCTTTCCTACAATTAGAGAGTATTTAGAATGAAACATAAAAACTATTCGTTGAGGATGTATATAAACAAATATCCATACAATGACTCGAGGATTTTAGGAAAAAAAAAAATTATATTACGTCACGGAAATTTTAAGAAATAAAGAGAAATTTATTTCTGCGCGGATATACGTAGGAATTTATACACACACTTTTCTTCAAAGTCAGATTCTCAACAGTATGAACTTCCATACTGCATATCTGTAAAAGTGGCGTTTCAATCGCGGTGGATCGTACCTGTGCGGTTGATTAAAAACATCCCACGCACTTGCGATTAGAGCATTTATAGTAATATCAACAGGTACAAAATATGCCATGCAATCAGGATTGCACAAAATAAACCTTGTTAAACCTTTAGAGAAAGGCGCTACCACCCCCATTGCTGCAAGATAATTGTCTATCCATCCCACGAGCGGTTCGCGGGCAGTATTTGTCACTAAACAGGAGAAAAATACAAAATTTCAACATAATATAAGAATTTGGAAATAAAATGAAGAAATAAAATATTTGAAAATAAAATGAAGAAATAAAATATAAATTGCACATTGCCGACTTCTTAATACTGACGTTGGAGAACTATAAATATACTTTCAACATTGATCGAAAAGCGGATTAAAACTATCAACTGCTAATAATTTTCCTGAAATAATTGACCACTCACCGACGGATGGCCGAAAAATTCCGACCGGCAAACTTCCGCTACTGTCTCTAATAGCTACTTCAGCGATTGCTTTTGTGAATGTGTAAGTGTTGGGCCACTGTGCAGCGGCTCTGTCAAATATCATTAGATGTACTTTCATTTTCTACATATATTACATATATGTTAATTTACTTATTGCATTATAACGTGATAAGAATATGCACCTTAATATCTTCTCGTCAATCGTGTTTTCAGACGACGTTCGCATTAGTGTAATAAATTTTTTAGGGTCAATAGGATATTTGTAGAAACATTCTTCTATGTGTGTTACCGCGGTGAAGTAGTTAGCAGTTATAGTCGAGACGTGAATGAATGACTACGAAGGAAAACTTGATAAATAAAAAGTAAAACTTTAGAGACGAATAATTACCTTTAAGTTTGGCATACGTTTGGCCAAGTTTAAAATAGCGCAGGTGCCGTACACGTTTATTTTTGTAGCGACTTTTATGTCCTCATTGAAGCGTACAGTCGCTGCTAAGTGGAAAATTATCGATACCTGCGATAAAATATATTTTTATCAATTGAAATTTTGCTTACTTGTTTGCATTACTATGAATTATTTTTCAACTATACGATAAAAGCAACTTTGAGAGAAGTGGCCAGTGGAATCTAAATGGCTCACCTCACTTATCACTTGGTCTATATCATGCTTCGTAAGTCCTAGGCACTCTTCGTCCAATTCACCAACTTGCAAGAGGGGCACGACCTTCTCATGAAAATTCGGCATCTCCTCCTTTATTCGCTCGAACAGCTATGGATGATTGTTATAACGTCTATAAGAACTTACCGCGACAATTTCACAAGATCTAGACGTCATTACTTATTACTTATGCCATTCTTGGGAATTGCTCAAACTTTCGAGGCGATTTTTAAAAGCAGCGTCTACTCATCCTTCCTTGCCGTTCTAGCTTACACGCTGAGTCATGAAACTGACGTTCGTGAAGCTCATAGCCTCATGAGTGTAAATAATTAAATCTTATAAAAAACGCGTTAATAATAGCATTTTATGATTAAGATAAAATCTATTACTATATCATAATTACAATTTCTCAGATATGATACGTCATACACATCAGTTATATAATAGCTAAATTTTTCGCATAAGCAACTATTTTTAGTTAGATTCTTTTAGCCTCTAAAAAGCTCTTTAAAGAGGGACTCTATGAATAGATTCTAATGCCTCAAACTGTATACTGTAAGTGTGAATTGTGTGATTCGTCAGGCAAGCAAGAGTGACAAAAAGAGATGATCAGACATAGGCTTCAAAAATCGCTTCGAAAACTTAAGTAATTCCTGACACTCATTATGCTTACGGAACTCTCGAAGATTTCGGCCAGTCTACTCGTGGCGCTCTTGTTTTTCTTTGATCTTATCATCATGTATATCTTGGAGATATTGGGACAACTTCGCAGCAATTTCTCAATCAAGACCTTTCCGAGGAATCCAGTTCCGCCTAATTAATCATATTCTTCCATTATTGTTTGACCGATTACATCAAATGATAGAACTGATTTTCAGTTTTTGATGTTATATCCGTCGTGAATTTGTTTTCAAATTTTTGTAAACATTTCAATGCATATCTTCAAGGAAAGGAACGAAACAAAACTGTTAATTGGGTCATCCAAGTGTTGACACCATTAAGTTTTTCTCATTTTTTGAAGAAAGGTATTGAAATGTTCGCGCAAAGTCGAAAACAAATTCTCGAAAAATGCGACAGTAATCCGGAATCTAAATCGAGTACTTCCCCAAAATCTCAATATCGATATGTGTCAATTGTTATTTAACATTTCTTTGTTGATCACATTGCATATATACAATAATAACTTGTACAATAAATACCTGTAATGAAGATCGACTGGTTCGCGTAGAACTTTTGTATCGGCGTTTCTTGAATATTGGTCTTGTTCTTACAATGTACTATTTTGGATTGGTTGGAATCGTTAGTATCTAACAAATCGTCGCTCATTTTGTCAGTATCTGTGCGGTACTTGTTATAAAGTAATACTGATTTACCTCTTTACTTTTAATTTCAGCTACGATCCGCGAGTGGATGTATATAACGAGAGATTAATTTCACTAAGCCAGCACGACTCTTATATACTATAAGAATTAAATCAAAAAAAGAAAAACATAATCGTATATCATGTCAACGTTTTTACGCGGTAGAAAAACTTTATGTAAATATATTCTGCTGCACTTTGTAACATAGATTGACAAGTCACGACTACGGAGATTTTCTTCTGAGCCAAATGGTAATTAGTAGTGGAGACTCTGAAAATTTTTCTTTTCCCCTGTTCTCCAATTTCCCACAATTTTTCGGCTTATGAATGCCTAACATGCCCAGCAAACCAGCACCGTATTTATATAGCAGTAATGTAACATAGATATGTAATGTCCACCAAGCACAATCATACCAACACAACCATATGGTTTGTTATATAACTGTTACATATTACATAACATATACATAAAATGTAGTATTTATATAAAATACTGTATGGTTGAGCTGACATTCAAACATCAATGTTATATTACTGATACTTGTGATTTGCTGGGTGCAAGTTATACACAACACGGATGTACGTAACCCAGTACACCAGATGAGAGTTAACAGTTAATAAGCTATTTATAGAAGTGATGGGAAGATGTATTTGTGATCAGTTTTTACAAAGAATTATATCTTACAGTTGAGTCTTATTTGCATCCACTAGCATTCCTGCAAATAATCACCTAATCGTTGTAACCGATCACCACAAGTAGTTTCTAAATTTTATTTTTCGCATTTTTAAGGCAACTGTATCCGAATCTGTTATTGCTCCTATTCGAATTTGGGATAATATTTCTATAAAAGTCTGAAATCAATTTTTTTGTCGCATGTTAATTTCTAGTTCATCATAACTAAATAAAGACCATAAATTCGCAGAGTCCATTGCTCCAATATTTTTCAATTTTTGCTCCCGATAATTTCATAAAGAGTGGTTCTTCATGCACAGATGGAAGTTGCCATAAATCTCCAAAAAGTATATGTTTTTTACCAAACTATACATTATCATAATCTTCAGTATTAAATATCTCTGTTAATCGAAGATACATTAAAGTAACATTAAAGTAACATTAAAGTATACATTAAAGTAACATTTGAAATCATTGAAACTTTATCGATAATTGTTATAGCAACATTTTTCGTCTCGTATAATTTTAAGAACGTATAATTATCAGAAAGTTGTTTAGCAGTATAGCCATGTTCTACTGGTAATTGAATATTAATATAAATTGATTGATACAATCTATGAATAGTAAGCTTATCGATATTAGAAGTTGCAATACCTGTCGGTGCAGTTATTGCTGTGTCCTTTCCAATGCATTTTTTCATCCAACATCTAATAGTCTTTATTAACAAATTTTTCCAGTACGTCCTTGACCGCTTACATATAAACTAAGAATTTCTCTTTGAGATGTTATAGTAGCAGTAATTTTATTAAAGTAAAATTTATTAACAAAAAATTTCGTTTTGATCATCATTTAAATGCGATATCATTTCATCGATGTTATGAATTTCATATTTGTTACCAACATCTTTGAAATCTTTTATAGCTCCTTCGATTTCAATAGGAACACATTCTAATGCGCAATTTTCAAAATTATCGTCTTCATCTTTTATATTTCTATTTTCTAGTATATTGTTTTCAGCTAGTTGTTTGACATTATTTATATCTTGTTGAATATCAGTTTTTTTTCATGATACTGAAAAGCATCTTTAAGTTGAAACTGTATTCAAGAAAATGCTTCTGCATAACTATTACATCAATTTTTTAATTCATTAATATCTCTCTAAGGTTTAAACAATAGTAACAATGCAAAATAATAACGTTCAAGTTGAGTATGGACATTGAATTAGTAATGATCAATAAGATATCTACATTTACACTTCTTTAAATATAAGAATTTACCAATAACATAGTATTCTACATTTTTAGAACATGGTTTAGATTTTGTCATATCATACCACTTCGCGTAATTACGAGTATACAAATGAATAGATTCAAATTCTTTAAATCTATTCGAATAATATGTATTTATTAAAGGAGGATAAAATATATCTATAGAGTTACTATCTAATAGAGTTTCAATCTCTTTGCGAGGCTTAAGTTTTCTATTTCTAACCATATTCACGTTTAACCATCTTATAGTAATCTTATAGTAATTCCATTCACGTTTAACCATCTTATAGTAATTTTACTATTATATTTTTGCATTAAGAATTGATCGTCTGAGTGTGTAATATTTAAAATATTTATTTAAAATTATATAATTTGTTTAACAAATATTATTTTAAATAATAATGTTTTCTTTATAAAATAATAAAGTTTTCTTGTTAAAATAATAATGAATATATTTTTACTAAATATAAAAAGAAATAATAAAAATACATATAATACATCTTCATCGTTCGTCACGACATGATTCTCTCTCTTTTCCATTTTTCAGCATTTGACTCTAAGAACATCATTCTTAGTTTACTTTTTAATTGCTAACCTCAGAGCTTTTACACACGAATCTATATTATATATTAGCAATTCAACATTACAGTGTTGCTTGATACACGTACCTCGATATCTCAATATATCAATGTCTCAATTATTAATTATATCGGACACATTTAAAACGATATATTACAGAGCTATCGCAAGAATAAATACGATAGAAACGCGTTGCTTGATATACGTATCTCAATACGTATCTCAATTATCACATTTAAGGATGATAGAGCGTTATTGATATAATATACTAATTGACATAATATACTAATGATACACGACATAATATACTAATGAGACTTAAACTTTGCGACATATTGTAGAAAAGACTTAAATAATTGATCGGCAAGAAAAATCGACTACTGAAAATTTGTAATTTTGGCTTGTGAAATTTCAGATCTCAGGATTGTCTGTACTAATTTTTATCAGATTGGTCGCAACTAAATGCTTGTATCAACGTTTCTGTCAGAAATACAAATAGATTTTTCATTACCATTTTATTTTTCGAGATATTTTAGATAGAAGTGTGATCAGCTTCTTGGTAGCGTCGTGTACCATGAACATATCACGGATCTGTCACATCTCGGACCTGTCATTCTCGGAACTCGTCTTTATGTACTTGGCGTCGCGACGCTACCGCGTCGCTTAATAGAAAGGAATGCGAAGTATAATTTAATTTGAGAAACCAGTAAACACCAAGTAACGATTATATAACATTAAGTATAATGATTTTGATTCATCTTCCACTTTTCTCACACTAAAATGCAAACTAACGCGAGATATACCTCCAGTCATGTTTTATTTCAAATATTTATGACAGTCAGAAATCTCGCCCCGTAATATGTGTAGCATTGAGAGGAGATGGCGCACACAAACGTGACCGTGTACGCTCCGACTTTCGCCGAAAATGAGTATCAGTAAAAAATGACAGACATATGATACGACGGTCAGTCTGCTTCCCTTGCTGGAGCGAACTGTCTTGTTGGACATGCACTGTTCAACTGTGATCAAAGGTGTATTTTTTACACCTTTTTATTATATTATACATGTGTATGTTATATTATATTATATTATAGAATTAATAAATTCTAATTTAATGAAATCCACTTTTGGCCAACGTGTACATTTGAATTTAATAAATTTATCTTATTAAAATATATATAAAAATAATGAAATAAAAGCAAAATGTGATTTGGTTAATAACAGTAGTATATGTAAATACTTCGTAAGCTTATTGGTTAATATCGCATGCTATGTATGATCCATCAGATCCATCAGATATGTCATAATTCTTAATTCTTTTAATTTTATATTATTGTATAGTATCGCTGTACCGCAAAGAATATATAAATATTATTATAATTTGGTCTTTTTTTATAATAGATGAAAAATGTACATATTAATGTAGAAAATACAATGAGATAAAAAGCGATTTTATGTATATATGCGTATGTATCATACATTAAATCTTAATCTTAATCTGATTAACTAACTAACTGAGAAACGAATTTATATATCTTTGTTCTAAATTTCCAGTTTCAACCAAACATGGACGATCTTGAGCTATATTTCGATATGTATAAAAAATAATAGGAAAAACGTATACAAGCACATAAAAAAAAACATGATAGACACAAGTTTCGTATAAAACAGATGAATTTATTTGGCTGGCTTAAATATCGGATTCTGCATTTAAAAAAAAAACTTAAAATATACCATTATCCTCCTTGAAATGACATGAAGTTATGATAAAATTTAATATTTTTACATAAAAACCATTTTTTTTACATTACCTCTCACCAAAATTATATAATGCGTGCTTATAGCGTCCAATTAATATTATAACTGTGCATGAAATAAATCTAGATTACAAAAAAATTTCTGTAAATAGCTCTGTAAATATTTCTGTAAAATCTAGATTACAAAAATATTTCTGTAAATAGCTTCCAGACCAACATGAAGACGATGAATGTAAGCACGATCTTAGTCACTTGATGTATCCAATACAATCTGAAATTCATAATATTATTTAGTGCAAATATAACATTATGTAATTAAATGCCTTTTTACATAACACATATCTATTCTATAACAATCGTCAATGATTCAACATTTCAGTTAGAATTAATCCAAAACGTCTAATAAGATTCATTGGACTCCAAAATTTTGGCGTTTTGGTTAACTTTCTTACGCTACTTTCCAGAAGCTATAATTTCCTGATTTTTCTGAGATTGGTGAACTAACAAAGGTGGCAAAAGTTCAAAGTTCTATGAAAAGAGCTGCAGGTGATGTAACATCAAAGATTATTGGCATCTTTTGAACCCCAAAGAGACAAAATATTTTCTAAGATTACTTTTACACATCGGGAGACCAACGAATTATTTAGATACTACTACTTTCATTGACTCTTTAGCTACGAACTGTGTATATATATATCCGTATATAATCATTAATATATACGAATGACGTGTATGTAATGTATTCTCTGTAACGGTCCGCACGATATATCAGGCGTCCCCGACAGTTTAGAAAAAAGGTTGTAAGGAGAACATTCATTTGTAATATGCAAGCTAGCATTCTCAAAAAAATAAAATTTTTTTTTATGAAAGTTTAATATCGCCTTAGATTCTTTAATATTAGTTCCTTTTCACAATATTACAGAGAATTTTAAGAGGAATTTAATGCATTCTTACTTTTATTGATATTTAATGTTATTGATATTTAATGTTATTGTATTCATTTAAGTTATTATTAAATCGAAAATACGTTACCTTTTCCATTTGATACGACTGACTTCCAAAGTGCTCAAATCATCCTTAAGCAGATAAAGACGCATACCTCTGAAATGATCTTCCAAATATTTCGACCAATCGAAACCTTTCATGTTAAAGTCGAATAAAAACTGATCATTTTTATTCATGCGTCGCCAGATCGCCTGAATGTTGTCATTTGTATGAGTCCAGTTGTTCATCATAAAGTAACTGATCATGTTATTGAATTTGTGAATTTTACCATACAATTTCCATATGCTAAAAAGTTGAAATAATATTGACATGAATGTTATTTCGGTAAATTTGACGCTATCCTCAAATACCTTTGCGGAGCACCTATGCATTTTTGAAAAATTTCAATGAATATTGCGGGTAACAGGTGTCCGAACCAAATGCATATTGTGTATATAATTTTATTGCTGACGTATAATTTTATTACTAACGTAATAGTTGGCATCCAATAACAGTGTTTCGTCGGATATTTTCGAGCATTTAGTCGTACGTGAGCAAAATAATTACCAAAAGACAAAGGGGCGTCTTTCGTGAATACGCTATTATAAATTAATATTTTTTCGCCTTTCCTACAATTAGAGAGTGTTTAGGATGAAACATAAAAACTATTCGGATGTAAAAACTATTTGGGGATGTATATAAACAAATATCCATACAATGACTCGAGGATTTTAGGAATGAAAAAAAAATTGTATCACGTCACGGAAATTTTAAGGAATGTAGACAAATTTATTTCTGCGCGGATATACATAGGAATTTATACACGCACTTTTCTTCAAAGTCAGATTCTTAACAGTATGAACTTCCACACTGCATATCTGTAAAAGTGGCGTTTCAATCGCGGTGGATCGTACCTGTGCGGTTGATTAAAAACATCTCACGCACTTGCGATTAGAGCATTTATAGTAATATCAACAGGTACAAAATATGCCATGCAATCAGGATTGCACAAAAGAAACCTTGTTAAACCTTTAGTATAAGTTCGTACGCAATAGTAAAAATGGGTGCATATGGCGAATCGCATCAGCGTGAAAATCGGTGTCGCCCAAAACGGCGTTGCCGCTTGGCTCTCAGGCTTCTCCCTATGCCTATCGTTATTTTCGGCCCTAGTGGAACTAACTCTGGGGATGCAAACTCATGCAGGGGAATAGCGGAGCACAGAACGAGAGCGGAACCAATCACGAGCGTTCCGCGTTTTTCAACAGTTTGTCAGCAATTTTTAGCGGAATCTGCGGAAAAGTTTTGTCGCAGACTGCGTGATAGACGTGGGCTGATATAAAATTAAAAAATAAGAAAAATAACGTGTGATAGAAGTGTAATAAAATATCAGGTTCAATGGTAAATATCAGTAAACGGTTAATGACAGTTTACTTCAAATAAATATTTTGGAATTGACATGTTTGCTTTCTGTAAAAAAGGAATATTGCATTTAGGGATTATTTGAATATTTTATGAATCGAAATTGAATTATTATAATATGTATTGTATTTGTACTATACTCTGTACTGTAAGTGTGTTGACAATTGATCTATGCAGAACAATAAATGTGGATACCGCGGCTGGATTTTCATGAAAAACATGAATTTGTTGCAACATTCATGTTTTTCTCAATATGATGAGACTATAAACATAATCATCGTTGATGAGAATAATGTTGTGATAATGAATAAGTTTATTATCATTAATTGACCATTCTCTGCTACTTATAATATATCGAAGATTGTCTCTATTTTCTCCGGTACTTGCAGATATATAACAATGCAATTTTAGAATTCATCATATAATGTTTTCCTTGTTCCTGTAAATACATATGTTATTACATAAAATCATAATATTCATGCAATATTGTTAATATATTTTATATTTCATTGTATATTATATATTGCTTGTCAATTATTATTAATTAAAATGGGAATCTTACAAGTAACAGAAGTACTTATTTTACAATTAATCCAGCTAGCCAAGTCTATAGAACAATATATAACTTGCATATTTTTCGGACTCCCCCGATTGATTATCAATATTGGAGTCAAAATAAATATTTTTTCCAAAAGAGCTGCAAAAAGATATCAAAATTCGAAAAAGGTCTTATAATTACCCAAATATAATTACCCAAATATAATTACCCAAAAAAGAACCAAGAATATTGAAATACTAGATAGTACACTGATTGTACCTAACGGTACTTCTTCCACAGCAGCGCTTGAGATCGATATTTCGGCCAAATATATAGGCCTGTTCTTTGTAGTTGCACTGCTGAACTGGTGCAATATATTGAAGTGAAACAAATATACGTTTTCTCACTCTAACTTATTGCACTAGTTCAGTAGTGCAGCTACAAAGAACAGGCCTTATGATTTTTTAATATTTAATAAAAATTATCTAGATGACTCACAAACCTTTTTAATGATACTTCTTCATACGAAATACAAACAATACCATGCCGAACATTTGTTTTATTTACCTCCGGTCATTATTTCCGGCTAAATACATTGTCCAAAAAAGAACAATTAATTACAAGTAATAGAATGACTCACAAATCTTTTCAGTTGCACTTCAAAACTCTTCATATGAAATACAAACGATTTAAAAAAATAGCTTTCCAACTGGAGTTTTTTTCCGGTCAAGTACATACGAATGAGAACCTCTGGTAAAGAGAATCGCGAACTTGATTATGTACCAGAGGTTCTCTAGATTTCGGCATACGGTTCGTATCGGAGTAAGTGGCTCCGCGTATAAATTTTTTTAAATCTTCTGTCAGCTTTCACGCAGATTTGATTATTTATTAGTGGATAGTTTATAATATTTGTCGACTTGGCTCTTAATTGGACTCGCTTTTTGGTTTACGTTTGGATTTTTTTTATTTGAGCTTCTCTTTATCACGATTTATTTTCGTGACATGTGACGATTACGTGATTGTGTTTGGAGCAATGGAACTTGGGAATTTGGTTGCTGCTACGTGTGCAAATCCTGTGGAAATCATGTCCCGATGGATTTCCAGCCCGCTGAGGGATCTGTTGACCGCGATATAGCGGAGTCGGTAAATACTCTGGGTGGAGAGTGTAATACGCTACTATTGCAGAGTGGATCTGCTATGTCTGCGTCGAGGGGCCCAAAAAAATGCGTTCGGACGAGGGTGTTAGTCCTGGTACTCCGACCAGAAGGATCTGGATGTTCCGCCTCCCCTGCTTCTGCTGATATCTCTGTTGTTCCTGTTATCTCTGTCGTCCGGGCGTCATTGTTTCATCTGCTGCTTCCACATCCTTCCTGCCATCTCCTTCTGATGCTACCTTACATCCATTGATGCCCATGGCGCTTGGTAACAGGTAAGAAACGAAATAATGGATCCTTTGTCTTTATTGAAAGGATGGATGCTCTGAATGAGGCGAATACTCTCTATTGGTTCGCTCACGCTTGCAGAAGCTATGCACGATCGTATTAGAGAATTTATGGGCGTGTCATACGATCTAAAGACACTCGCTCGACTCTCGAGGAGAGCCTAAATTAATAATGAAACCAGCTGATGTGACGTGTGCGGATATTCTGAACAAGCCAGTGGTTAGGGGAAGCAAGGTTTCTCTGGCTTCGGGCGGTCCGCGTAGCTCATAGGACAACTCGCGGTCTTCACCGTCCGTCCTCAACAAGGCGAATAGCCGCCCTAGATTTCTTGGGAGCGTCCCGATTGCCCTTTTTTTTTTTTGATAACACAGGGGAAAATGCGTTACGCATCCCTCAAAGACCCGGGGAAGTCTAGAGTACGATTGCCTAGAGTACGATTGCACACAAACCAATTGATGACAAGAATTATCTAGATCTAGATAGAATTACTAGATCAAACCAATCATTACAATTTGTGGTCAATTGTACTGTCGGCAATCGGGACCCTCCCGGTTCCTTGTTTCTTTACAGATTGTCAAGAAAAAAAAAGGCAGAAAGGAAAAAACTTTCTTCTGTTAGTAGGAAACCTGTAACGGTGGTGGAAGATATCAACAAGAATACGAGACTGGCCGCTCAGAGATGGAGAAACGATAAATTTAAAATTGATAGGTCACCCTCGGGAGAAACTCTGGGAGGTGGTGCCATTACTGACTTAGCAGGGGATAAAGATGTGGAATCTTATGAGGTGGGTTCTTCTCCTTTTCAATCTGTGATCTCTAAGGAAGAGTTTAACAGGAGAGTTTACAAGCATCTTAGTAGATCAAATATTAAAATATCTAAGTCTATGCTTGAATTTTTGAACAACAATTTTTTTGTTGAAGGAGGCAGTGCTAAGCCTGCCTCGGAACTGGACATTCCGACCTTTTCTTTGGACAAAATTCATATATCTGAATTGAAATCTTTCTTAAAGGATCTGTCTTGCATGTTTTCTGCTTTTTCTATTTCAGATAACGCTTAAAAATGGCTAGACAATGTGGTGGGGATACTCGTCATAGTCTATCCTTGATACATCGGAATGTCCGCTCCTTGATGGCTAGGAGGGAGGATCTTGTTGGCCTTGTTAGTGAGTCGGTTCCGGATGTTGTATGTATATCGGAAACCAGGATTCCTCGAGCCTTGGCGGATTTGCCCATCTGTCCAGTAAGGGGGTACTCGTTTTTGAACTCCCGAAGACTGGTGGATTCTGGCGGAGGTACAGGCCTACTCATTAGTAATAAGATTCTTTTTTCGATTAAGAAAATTTCTGACCTGGAAGCTATGTGTCGAGTAAATAACGTAGACTTGATTTCTGTAGAGATTCACTTGGAAAATGGTCAATCGATTGTTGTTGTCTCTATTTACAATTCCCCAAGAGTTTCGTCCTCGGATACGAATATCAATTTTTGGAGAAACTTCTTTGGCACTTTTGAAGGTCTCCCTAACGTAGTTGTTGTTGGCGATTTTAATGCGCATATTCCTCAGTGGTTTGATGTTCCAGATATAATGAGGAGGGACGAAAATTGGAATCTGCGATTGCACTTTCCAGCTTCGTGAATATCAGCAATGGGCAACCCACCTGGATATCGGCTTGTGAGATCCAGATCAGTGCTGGATTACCTTTATTTCCTCGGTCCTTTGGCCCTGACCACCTATTGTGAGGTAATGAGAGACAAGTTCTCTAGTGATCATTTCCCTACTTTGGTAAAGTTGGGTGGGATATATATTCTCCTAGTGTATCGTAGGCCTTCGCTCATTTTGTCAGATATCATTTTAAAAGGCTAGATTTTAAAAGGTTGCTTGATGATGAAATGACGTCCTTTGAAGTTATTGGTAGAAATATTGTTGAATGTTATAATGTATTTAGAGATTGTGTTATGAGGACGGTTTTGGCAAGTTTTGGTAGAATTAGCGATGGTAAAAGTTCGAAAAACGTCCCTCCGTCTTTGTGGTGGTCTGTCGAATGTGATTCTTTGATATATGAGAGAAAGGTGGCTTATCAAGTTCTCATGTCACAACCTTCTATTGAAAATTTGGAAAATCACTGCGGCTAAGGTTAAGAAAGAACTGTTAAACATTAAAATTAATAATTTCAGAAATTTTTGCTCGAGAATTAATCCCCGTACCAACATCGCCCAAATGTGGAGATCTCTCAGAGCTTTTAAGAACCGTCGCTCTTTGGCATCGAAACTGGACTTCAAGGTTAGAACGTCTTCCGCTTCCGCGGCCTTTGACAAGGCTGTACCGCGACAACCGATAGTTGCAGACCCCGCTCGTCTCCCCGAAGACTATATTATCAGAGAGAGCGGCCACGCCATGTTTTAGGCGACATTTTCAGACGATGCCGGAAAGTAGCGATTCGGTGAGTGTCTATTCCACGCCCATTTCCTGGCGATTCGTGTCCGTGCTAAGCGTATAATTGCGTGGTTAAGAACATGGACCATTGCGTACAAACTTATATTCCATTCAACATGCACATGATCTTTTCTCTTTACGCACTGTCATAAATTTATTTACGTGTATATGCATACGAAATATATGTATGTGTATATGCGAGAACCTGACCGCGCCCACTTCCACATAACGCTCTACATAACGCAACGATATTAATCGCATTATTATAAAACATTAATTTCAGTAGCATAAACTATGGAAAAACTAGTGCTCTTTAAATAACATCAATATCTTTCGTGGTTGCCGAGAAATAAGGAATAAATGCTAGCGGCATGTAAGAGCTTGATCGCAACATCGAAACATTCGCGCATTTCTATACTTTACATAAAGCAGTGGTATTAATCGTAATATTATAAACAACTAATATTATAAACAACTAATTCCAATAGAGTAAAGTGTGGAGAAGACAATGCTTTTTGAACTAAATTTCTCCGAAAAATCGCGAGTTCGCAATTCTCCGAATTTTAGTGCAGGTCTCGCGCTTCCACGAATTTGTCGCGAGGCTCGCGCTTATCGCTGCCCAGCCGTGCTTCGTGGAAACGCGTCGCGGCCCTCCCGCTTCCCGGAAGCGCGGCGCGAGCCTCGCGCTTCTCAGAAGAACGGCGCGCGTAAGGTGCTCTCCCAAAAAAGGCATTTCTTTTTCCTTTTAAAAGCGAGATGCACCTCGTGTGGCGTCTCGCTTGCTGAGACGCTTAAATTGCATTAGAATAAAATCGGAGAAAGTCAGTTCTTTTTGAACGAAATCGATATCATTTGTAGTTACCGAAAGAATGCAAAAAATACTGGCGGCATATAAGCACTTGACCGTGAGGTCGTGCTCAGGCTTTTACATGCCGCTAGCATTTATTGCTTAATTTCGGCAACTACAAAAGATATCGATTTTGTTGAAAAAGCAAACACTTCTCCTCACATTACTCTATTGGAATTATTGGTTTGTAATATTACGAAAAATAACACTGCTTTAGGTAAAGCGAGGAAGCGCGCTTACGTCTGGACGTTGCGGTCAAGTGCTTGTATGCCACCAATATTTTTTGCTTTCTTTCGACAACTATATGAGATATCGGTTTTGTTCAAAAAGTATTGACTTCTCCACACTTCACTCTATTGGAATTAGTGGTTTATAATGTTACGAAAAGTATCACTGCTTAAGGTAAAGCGTGGAAGCTCGCGTACGTTTCGACTTCGCGGTCAAGTGCTTATATGTCGCCAGTATTTTTTGCATTCTTTCGGTAACTACAAAAGATATCGATTTTGTTGAAAAAGCAAACACTTCTCCTCACATTACTCTATTGGAATTATTGGTTTGTAATATTACGAGAAATAACACTGCTTTAGATAAAACGAGGAAGCGCGCTTACGTTTGGACGTCGCGGTCAAGTGCTTATATGCTGCCAGTATTTTTTGCATTCTTTCGGTAACTACAAATGATATCGATTTCGTTCAAAAAGAACTGACTTTCTCTGACTTTATTCTAATGCAATTTAAGCGTCTCAGCAAGCGAGACGCCACACGAGGTGCATCTCGCTTTTAAAAGGAAAAAGAAATGCCTTTTTTGGGAGAGCACCTTACGCGCGCCGTTCTTCTGAGAAGCGCGAGGCTCACGACAAATTCGTGGAAGCGCGAGACCTAGACCAAAATTCGGAGAACTGCGAACCTCGCGATTTTTCGGAGAAATTTCGTTCAAAAAGCACTGCCTTCTCCACACTTTACTCTGTTGGAATTAGTTGTTTATAATATTACGATTAATACCACTGCTTTAGTTAAAGTATAGAAATGAACGAATGTTTCGATGTTGCGATCAAGCTCTTACATGCCGCTAATATTTATTGCTTAATTTCGGCAACTACAAAAGATATCGATTTTGTTGAAAAAGCAAACACTTCTCCTCACATTACTCAATTGGAATTATTAGTTTGTAATATTACGAAAAATAACACTGTTTTAGGTAAAGCGAGGAAACGCGCTTACCTCTGGATGTCGCGGACAAGTACTTGTATGCCATCAATATTTTTTGCTTTCTTTCGTCAACTACATAAGATATCGGTTTCGTTAAAAAAACACTGACTTCTCCTAATTTTAATGTATTCGAATTAGTGGTTTATAATATTACGAATAATACCATTGCTTTAAGTAAAACAATGTGTAAGTGCGTAAGCGAATTTTTCTTTTATTCAATTAATATCACTTTTATAGAGTTTCACAATCAGTTATATTTGTCAAAGTTACCAGTTCCTTTGGATTTTGATTTCGTATCTTTTATGGCGCGATTATCGGTTATTTTTTATATCGAAACTTCATGTCAAGCATACTTTTCTTCGCTTGTGTCAATTAGAGATGGAGTAAATGATGTATGTCTTAACCGTCAAATGGACTCCTATTTTAGAAAATGTTTGGTAAAATTTAATCTGACAAATTACGATGTGATTTATACCGATGGGTCTAAGATGGATGCGGGGGTGGGGTGCTCTGTTTTTTCCTCTTCCTTATCCATCTCCATCAGCTATGGCTTAGATAATGAACTGTCCATATTTGAGGCTGAGGCCACCGCGGTGACGCATGTCCTGGTCGCGGTAGAAGAAGAAGAAGGGTGCAAAGAAGAAGGGTGCTGATTGTTTCGGACTCAAAGAGCCTGATAACTGCTTTGAATGTGAACCTAGTGGAAAGCAACATGAATTAGTCTACATTATTAAGGATATTTATAAGGAATTGATATCACGAGGATTTTCTATTGTCTTTATTTGGATCCCAGGTCATGCGGATATAAGTGGTAACGAGTGCGCGGATTGACAAAAAAGCAGCTTTGAGAGTGAACACCTCCGGTAGCCATGAGACGATATGGTTCTCCAGCACAATCCGAAGGATACTTATGGGACGTTTGAACGCTTATGTTGCACAATTTTTTAGGGATATATCTGAGTCGCGGGGTTTCAGATACTTCCATAGAACTCGTATCAAAGAGAAACTCAGTCCCTCAGTTTCAGGAATTTTGCAATCTTAGTCGAGCTACTTTGACTCTTATCGCAAGATTACGTACTTTTCAAACACAAAACTTTATAAACAAAAGTTGCAGCGCATCTATTTGATAAAAACATAGTTGATTAATTTTTTTGTGGTGCTCTGGAAACTACGGAGCACGTGATTTTGAACTGCCCGCGCAATCTCATATACGGACATGTTGAGAATCGGTTGCGTAGGCTTGGGTTTTTGAATCCAATACAATGCTGGGCGTTCACTATATATTTTCGCGCACGCGCATTGAGCAAACTCTGTGGTAACTTCAGCGCCGTATCTATTCTAAGGTATCGTAAGAGCACAAAATAACTAGGTGGAAACTGGTACTTAAATGAGATGATGTGATTGGTTGGCGCAAGTTACTCTTATGCAAGTTACGCCGCATGGGGAGACACCCTCACTGTTTTTGGTGAAGAATCGAGGACGTAGTACGATAAGTCAGTCAAACTTTTTATTTTCCAGTATTAACAGCAAATTCGACTCTTTTGTTTGCAAATAGTATGGCTTAACAACAAAGTTAGGCATTCTTTTATTTCCAACTTTTATCGCTCAACAGAGTTATTTTTATTTTTAAGTAATATGACTCAGTTGTAGGTTAGGGAGATATTTAGTTTTACTTCTTTACACTTTCCTTATTTCTCGTTCAAGCTCATTTTTGTGCATATTTTATCTTAATTCTAGGAAACGCGGTTAACAGAGATAAATTGATTATTGCACATGGTCCCAAGCTGGTCGCCATATTTGTTGTGGTTCATAATGGGTGCTTTCCAGTTGCGTACACTGTGTTACACAAAACCAGCTTATTGGTTGCATATTATCTTACAAGATATTTTAGATAATATGTGACCAATAAACTGGTTTTATGTACGTGTGTGTCAAGATGTGTTAAGCAATTGGAAAGCACCCAATATATGTAGGGCTGCATTCGGAAACATCACTCGAATACTCTCCCTCTCTTTTGATCTCACTTGTATTTCGCTCACTCCAACGGCTATCGTTTAGTAGTGTGCACATAGTAGGTTTGTTCGCGTCGCATGCCTCAACGTGCTGCTACTCGCTCCAACGCACTTTGATTGGTTTACGTCACCACGCGAACCAATCAGAGTGCGTTGGAGCGAGTAGGAGCACGTTGGGGCATGCGACGCGAACAAACCTAATAGGTTTGTCGCCTCGTATGCCCCAACTCGCTCCAACGCACTCTTAATAGTCCGCGTGGTGACGTGAATCAATCAGAGTACATTGGAGCGTGTAGGAGCACATTAGGGCATACGACGCAAACAAATCTAGTGTGTGTTTTCGAACGCAGCATAGATACGTTAGTGGGACGTTAGAACTGAATTGATTTTATAGTAAAATATTTGTATTGAGTGAGTGTTGATGTGCAGTGGTAGGTACTTTGAAAGATGATACAAAAATAGATTTCCAAAGACTTATTTAATGGAGAAATATCAATATAAATAAAAAAGTAACTAAAAAATAAAAAGGCACCTGCAACATTTACAAATAAAAAATATACGGATGTTGCATGGTGATTCGCAGTTATATATACGAGTACATGATCATGTACAACAAGCCTAATAGAAATAAAATTTAATATACTTTTTCATGCTTTCTGATTCCTTTTTAAAACAAACAAATTGACTGACTGACTGACTAACTCATTTTTACGCATGACCCACATACTACACATTACTCACATACTACATTCATAGGGCGTGCTTACATTGGTCGCGTGCACTGCCCTCCTTAAGTCGTTTTCATAAGCTTATTTACTAATCCATAAAGTAATTAATCCTCAACAGTGAGTGTACTTACACAATTTTTTAAGTCGTGTGAAATATACTTTGTGTGTGATGCTATTTGAATTTCATAAAATTAACAAGTTAGACGAATCAAATGTACTGTTATAAAGCATACATTAATATGCTGTCAAAATTTCATCGTGCCATTATATATATAAATATATATTAAACATTTAATAATTAACATTTATAAATATATATTAAATATTTATAATTAATATTTATAAATATATATTAAACATTTATAATTTAAATATTAAACATTTATAATTTAAATATTAAAATATACAGACGGATATGCCTTGGAGTGCATCTGTATTTGTCTTATGCATATATATATGTATATACACATGAGTACATATATATAAAATTGATAGTATTTATGTTCATAATACTGAGTTTACGACAGTGTCTCATTCATATTCGTATAAGAAATTGTACCATCTATACACGAGCTATGTCGAACCATTTCCCAAAAGTTATGAAACATCTAACAGCAGGGATAATAGGTCAAAATAATAATTATATATAACGACAAGTATCCTAAAGTTCTACTAAAAATTCTACTCTCTTCAATATGACATTTATATATTTTTAGTTATTGGAGATGAAATATTGAAAGCTCAAGTGAGAGACACAAATTCCTATTACATGTGTAATTTATTGTATAAATGTGACATTAAAGTAAAGAAGATAAATAATTAATTTTCTCCAATGTAATCATTTTAATTAACATTTTTTAATTTTAATTAACATCATTTAAGTAGTATATAATGAAAGTTTATATATATATAGAGAGAGAGAGAATTTGGTCGGTGAATACCTCGTCGAAGACGGCTAGTTCCTCTTTAAGGAATTGCTGGAGGCGCTGGTCTTCCTCGGGTTTTCGAGGTGTCAAGCCAGAGGAAACCTGGCATACGGCTCGGTCGGGTCTGTCGGTTTCCCTTGGTTGGGGTAACAGGGGAATTTGGAATTTTCGCCAGAGGTCTACTCCCATGATGACCTCGGTGTCTAGTCGGTCTAGCACGTAGAACCAGTGCCACAGTCGTTGAGCTCCCCATTGCACGCGAATCTTCAGTTGGCCGAGTGTTTCGGTAAAGGCCGAGTTGGCCATTTTTATGGCGGGTGCGGGTCGCAGGGCCGGCGGACAGGTTGGCCAGAGGGCAGACAAGATGTCGAACCGGATGCACGACATATCGGCCCCTGTGTCGATGAGAGCTCGGCACGCCTGTTGCTGGACGTACAGGGTCGTGTACGGCCGTGGTGAATATACCACTTGGGCATCGTTTAGGATCGAGGAGTGGCGGCGGATGACACAGGAGTCACATGAGGAGTCACTGGATGACACCTCCGTTAACGAGCGGAGAATCCGCTGTTCCTGGATGGCCTCGTATTCCTTGGCGAGCTGCCGTAGGTCGCCTAAGGATCGAAGGTCAGCTTGTCGGACGTAGAGCTTGTAGTCCGGATGCAGGTTTGTGTAAAGCCGATATAGCTGGTCCTTGTGGTTGTATCTTTCTGCCCGGCGCATCATTGTTAGCAGGTCGGTCTCGTACTTGCTGAAAGTCTCCCCGGCCTGCTGTACTCGGCTCTGGATGCAGCTGATTAACTGCTCCTGATATCCACTGGGGAGGAATTGTTGGCGGAAATCGGTGACGAAGTCTTCCCATGAGCGCCAGGAATCTCGATGGTTGCGATACCATAACAAGCTCTCGCCTTTAAGTAATATAGGGAGGCCTCGCAGGAGGTATTCTCCGGGATACCCGTATCCCCTGCTGAGCTCGTCCAGGCGTTCCAGGAAGGCGAGTGGATTGCGTCCGTCGTAGACGCATCCCCACTTCCTTATTTGTGACATGAAGGTCGCGGGGTCCGGTAGGTTCGTGGGAGCACTCTCGCAGAAAGTACGGCCTTCGGCGGCCGCACCTGTTGTCGGGGGCGCAAGCATCACGGTAATGGTCTTGTCAACTTCCTCAATCTCGGTGGTGGCGTGCGTGGCGCAATAGCTTTTCAGGCGACGGTGGAGGTCGTCGAGGATGCCGCTGGTTTCGATGTCAAGCCCGACAAGGATTTCGATGAGCACTGCTTTATTGCACTGATAAATCCACGTCAGCATGAAGGAGCGTGAAGAAAAGAGAAGAGATTCTTTGTCCACTTTGCGTCTTTAACTGAACAGGTCCTTGTGCGGGCGCCAATATGACGGTCGACCTTCCCGGGCCGGCTAGTGTATCAGGTCTCAGCCCGATCGGACAGCTCGTCGGATGCACTGGTTCGCCGAAAGCGGTGCAGTCGGCGCACGAAAACGGAACGCGGTTAGTGTAAAGCGGTACACGGCGAAACTGAAGGTGGAGGCTTCCGCCTCAGGAGCTGGTGAAAGGTATCGGCGATGGAAGCCGCGTAGCGGCCGGATGTAGATGTCGAGGAGTCCGGGTAGCGGATTATACGGAAAGGAGGTATGGTGCTGGATACGCACTGAGACGCTCAGCGGAGCTTGCGTTCAGGACCGAGTCGCTCGGGAAAAGCTCATGAGGAGCTCCACGAGCCGGCTTATATACCCGCTCGGGAACTCCCACGCGCTGGCGGCAAACGGGATTCCCGAACGTGGGAATCGACACGCGGCGCGGCATGCGACCTTCAAACACTGTGTTTGTGCTCGACGCTTGCGTCGTGCGAGAAAGCATCGCGTTGTTCCCAACCCGACTGGTGGTGAGTTGGGTCGGACGTGACGATTCATATATCGTCACAATATTATAACACATATGATAGAATTATACGCTCCATAAATATTCATACTGTTCAATTATTTCAGATCCCAAAGTAAACTTCTGTAAAGTGCAATTTAAATACACGTACAGGCAAACCAACGCATATCCGTACATTGTATTAGAAAATATATATGTTTTCCCTAGTTCACCAATATTTTTTGAGAGATCTTTCCAAGGTTTATACGAGGTAATTTCAACGAAACTATTCTCAGCAATCTTTTTTTCGGACTGATCTGTATCTCCTTGTGCTTCGTGTGTTGCAGGATTTATTCTTCGTAACGAGCAGGAGATTTGTAAAAGATGAGGTATTTATAAACGCCAGGGAAGAAGCGTTTACGAATGCCTTATCAACGGTAGTAAAAGAATTCGCCAATGTTTTCTTTGGTTCCTATCCAGTGAGCAATTGCAGGTAATGCAAAGTGAAGCAATCGCAAGTTGCTTTAAACGCGACACAACGTGCATGCTCAAGACACACAGTTCTACATTTCTTTTATTTCACAAATATCGCAAACAGGATATCCTTTTCGCGGACCTGGTTTTACGCATTTCTAACGACATTTTTCAGCGAGCGATTTCTATTTCACAAGAGTAAAACACGATGTGAATGATATATAGGTACTACAAAGCCTTCGTGACTACAGAGAGCGGTAACGAAACTAATACGGAAAGTGCGAAACGATTTTCGAGCTCAATCCTGTCCCTTTTTTGTTCGAAATTAGACCGAACGCCGCACGTAAATTGCATTACGAAGTACAGTAATTTTCTTCACAGTTGCCCGCATCGTCGTTCGTTCTACGAGCAGTCGCTGGAAGAGCTTCGGTAAAGGAGAACGATGCATTTTAAACTTGGATATTGTCACCAATATACATTAACACGTATATATTAAACATTAAACACTACACATTAAACACATTAAACATTAAACATTAAACACATTAAACATTAACAGTTTCCACTGCGTACAGACAGTTTTATCGAGACTGAAAGCGTTTCCATACGCATAGTCGAGCATCGTTATTTACCATGTAGAGTCCGATCTAATTCGAATGACAATTTGCGAGCGGTCTACTTCAAAGAGGACCCTTATAGAAATGTAATACTGATAAGTAATAATTTAGCCAGTGATAATTATTGAACGACAGTAATTATTACTGGCCAAATTATTACTTATCAGTATTACATTTCTATAAGGGAAGCGGACGTCGATCCATCTCGAGGAATTCATCAAGGAGATGATTGACAAGTAATGGCGGCGCCAGTCGATACGATAAAATTGCAATTTGAACAATCGAATAGATTAACATGTAAATCAGCATTACGCAATCCCTTATAGAAAAGTATCACTGGCTGTGATAAATTGGCCAGTAATAAATAGTAATTTTATTACTTGTACGAGTAATATAATTATTGAACGAAAGTAATTATCACTGGCCAAATAATCATTTATCAGTATTAAATTTCTATAAGGGATAGCGTTACGATATTCGCCAGAGAGAGATGAAAATCGATTCGTATATTTGTTGATATAATCTGGCGGTGTGCACCGTGGAGGTCGAGCCCGATAAAAACGAAAACGAATATCCATGCAAGTGCATTTGCGAACGCTGCTAGTGGGAAAGACCGGAGAGGACGGCGTGAATAAAATTAACCGTTGCTGAGGCGCTATGTAATCCAAACGGCGTGACTGTGAATTGTTTAATAACCGCGATGCGTCGCGTACCGGATCATGCTCGCCGGTTCAGGTTCATAGAAGGCGGAATAATTTTGAAACAGTGAAATAAAAAATAAACTTGGTCGTATATTTAAAATCAGCTGCTGCTATACATTAAATAATAATCGTTGGTTTTCGATCGATTGTATACACTCTTCCCTTATAGAAATATCATACTAAGAATTATTGATAATTACTTATTATATAATATAATTATCCAGTATTTTTAATACTGAAAATAAGTAATTATCAATGATTCTTAGTATGATATTTCTATAAGGGTTGTCAGAGATTTCGTTTAGGTGATGGCTCGCGAGACGTTGCGCGCGGGACGCGGTCGGTGTTGTTGTCGTGTCGTTTCCTTCGACGTCAATCCGTCTATTGACGTTTTCAGCCTCTCGTCTCTTTAAATGCTGGTTGACAATCTCTTTATCAGCTACTATGCGATGCAGCACGGTATAAGCGGTATTGCAGCTGAGCTGCGTTCGGTGGATCGCTTCGGTGGCGGTAACTCCCCTTATAGAAATGTAATACTGATAAGTAATAATTTGGCCAGTGATAATTACTGTCGTTCAATAATTTTATTACTCGCACGAGTAATAAAATTACTATTTATTACTGACAAATTTATCACAGCCAGTGATACTTTTCTATAAGGGGATCGTATACAACGATTGCTCCCGCAACTCGTTGATACGGTGAGCACACACGGAAGTGGCTTGAACAGTCCGTCTGCTGTAGCGGAGCCTTTGTTGGCTTTGTTTACTTTGTGTATCAAGTGAGGGTAAATGTTCACTTTAGGGGAGTCACCTTTGATCACCTTGACATATATTATAGAGGTCATCCTCCTGAATAACCTTCAGAAGGTTTTAGCTCTCTCTCATTGTTTGTTAAAAAGTTATTGATGAAAGAAGTTCGAAAAATATATTACAATTTTTCGATAATGTGTACCGTTAACGAGCAATATCGAATAATAACTGCAATATAGAACAACTAGCGGGGGATAACTTATTATCCAGTATTTTTAATACTGAAAATAAGTAATTATCAATGATTCTTAGTATGATATTTCTATAAGGGTATTGGAGGTTCGGATCTCTCTAGAAATCGGTATTTCGAGAGCGGATCGGATTCTGCTCTCAATCTGAATTCGCGGCGCTTTATATTTGCAAATCTCGCTTGATTCGTTGTAATATCGCGGATGTTCGGCGGTTTATTTACTAGCGCGTTTTTGCATGTTTTCTTGTCGCGCGATGCTCTTTGGTGTCTCTAATTTGTCTTTGTACCGTTTTTTCATAACGATCGATATTCGGATCGTTACATTTATGTATTAATATATTAGGTAAAGTTGATTAATACATGTAAATTTATAAACTACTGTCGTATTATTTGAAATTAATGGTCTATTTGACTTGCTACATGAAAAAAAGTTCTTCTACCCAGTAAACATGCATGTCTAAAAGATGTCGAAAAGATATCTAAAAGATATCTTATGCAACATTTTGTTGCATAAGACGTCTTTTAGATATCTTTTCAACATCTTTTAGACATGAATGTTTACTGGGTAATCTGCTGTTAAAGCACATTATTTAAAAATGCACTATGTATTACAATTAAAGAATAATTACAGAGAGAAGCATGAGAGCGGCCACCAGCCCGATTTCAATGGCCAGAGTAAGGTGAATTTTCAAGACGCCATCTAACACAGTGCGCTTTTAGGCTAGTGGCACATAAAAAAACTTAAGCAGTAAAACGTAAACATTAAGCAAAATGACCAATCACAGTCATTGATTCTTCTTACGGTCCAACGACTGTGATTGGTTACTGCTTACGTCTTAAGCTCGTATCAGACTACCGACTGCACAGGCCGACCCGACTGCCGACTACGACTGACGACTCTCAATGGACCAATCACAGTAAGGCGCCTAGTCAGCGCCTCACTGTGATTGATCCATTGAGAGTCGGTAGTAGTAGTCGGCAGTCGGGTCGGCCTGTGTAGTCGGTAGTCTGATACGGGCTTTATGGCTCTTGCACACAGGACGCGGTCATGCTTGCCGCGCGACGGAAGTCCAATCAATATGTTGTTTTTTCGTAAGAGCTAGAAGATTATTACGGAAAACAGCATATTGACTGGCTGTCACGTGAACTTCCGCCGCGCGGCAAGCATTACCGCGTCCTGTGTACAAGAGTCATTATTGCTTTTCTACCACGGCCCTTACTACATTCGTTAGGCGCATTTTCGCGGTGGTAACGATAAAATATGCCTGGTTCGTGCCCGTTGTACTTCCGTACAGAGATAGGCAAAAAGAATCGATGTTTAGAAAACATCGATGTTCGCTCATTGAGGATGGTACTTTGACTATATAACCATGGACTGCTAGCGACGATTCTAAAAGTTGATGGCACATAGAAAAACTTAAGCAGTAAGACGTAAGCAGTAAGCGAATCAGCCAATTACAGTCGTTGATTCTTGAACCGTAAGAAGAATTAACAACTGTGATTAATCAATTTGCTTACTGCTTACGTCTTACTGCTTAAGTTTTTCTGTCTGCCACGGCCCTAAAGGGACGTCTACATTGGAAGTAAGTAGGAAGTAAGAGTAAGAAATTTACCAACCATAGTCGAATGTGAAAAGAATAATCAACTATGATTGGTCAATTTCTTATTCT